GCCGCCGGGGCCCCGCAAGAGGCAGCGGCCGGGTGTTGGGGGTCGGAGTCGCGGCCGGTTTGGGCGCCAAGAACGAAGGGTTCGTTGGTTTGGAGCGGTGAAAGTGGAAAGGACCCCCAGGAAGGTGTGAAGGCACCGGTGTTTACAAGAGAGCAGGAGAGGTGTGGTGTAGAATTACGTAAAATGCTTTACACCCTGTAAGTGGGTCCCTGGGTCGGGCTTCCTCGGCTTCCCCGGCCTTCCCGCGTCGTCGCATCACTCCAGCACACTAGCCGTCCAAGGACCCAAGGATCAAGTAAAACCTGGTCCTTAAGTCCTGAACCTCATGACATACCGCCTTTGTATGACCCAAACCTCGGTGAAACAAATCCGGTCCACAATATAAGACCTCCCAGCTGCTTCCTTATCGGGTCACCTGGCACGTCCCTACACGACTTATAGGTCTCCAGACAGGACACCCAGGAAGCGCTAGGTCTAAACCTCGCGTGTTTCGGGACCTCGTCCCAGGCACCTGCCCCAGCGCCCCTCCGCCCCAGCCGGCCTCCTGCGCTCGGATGTTGCGATCCAACTGCACCAGTGGACCCCCAAAGAGTTTCACCGTGGCAAAGGCGCCGAAGAAAGCATAGCTGGCCATGACCACGAACAGCAAGCGAGAGATGCCTAGGGAGGGTGGGGTATTGGAGTCCATGGGAGCCAGGGGCCTAAAAATGCCTAAGCCTGAGTTGAGGCCCCTGACAGCCTGGATTTCTCCAGCCATGCCTGGGGGATGTATTTTTGCATGACCCTGCTCCATCAACCTGCTCGAAGCCCTGAGTTGTTGCATGCATTGTGCCCCCCTAAATCCCTGGGTGGCTAAAAAGCCATCATGCCGCTGAACGACGGGGAGGCCTGCCGCATGGGCAGGTTGCACAGATTTGCACAGCCCCCTGACCCACACCGCGGTCGGACACTGATGGACTGAAGGAGGCGTCCGACGCCACTTCTCTCGACGTGGCAACGGGCAGTGATCCCCGGGCCAGGTGATCTAAAGAATGACAGTAAAAATGACAAGAGCAGGGTCCTGAAGGGGTGTTATTTTGACCACAGTGCGAAAACTTGAACTTTACTCTTTGAAACGATCAATGGTATAGATTCATCTCTGAAATGTTCCTACTGGATTTCGCCAAGCGCTGGCACAACTGGCACGATGCTTGACACAAGGCACCACAAGAATTGGTTCACCTTCCCCTCCTACTGCAGCAGACAGAAGGCTGCATCTCCCTTCACCTCACCAAATACGGCCGTAACATTTGGGAATTGCTCATGATTTGGCGGCCCAGGAGCTGTAGACGACGCCGAGGAAACCAATGAGCTTCAAGAAGTTCTCGAAGGTGTCACCTCGGCCAGCCCAACCGCCCCGCGGAAAGATGATGAGTGGGACAGAAGCAGCTGCTCAATTATATCGAACTCATTAAGGGTAAATTTCGGAAAAGTGTCCAAACACTGGAATTGAGGTGGCTTTTGTGTGTATGTATGACATATAATGTGATGTACATAATTTGATTGTGTCTGTATATCATATTGCCGAGGTTGCAATTGGCCCCGTGCGACCCACCTTCTTCAACCATTGTTAGCACTCACCGCCCCTGAGCCACCCCGCGCACCAAAAGCACCAGCATCTCCGTAAAGTGCCCCGCTTCCACCGCGATGCGCATGTCGGGGTCGGCCACCTCACCGCTCCTCCGGAGCCAGTAGACCACCTGGCGCGGGTGGGTCCGAGACTCGGCGTCTCCACTGGACGTCCAGTGCGACTCCTGCTTGGGATACCTTTGGATCACAGGGCTAAACTGCAGCTTTGGATGAGTGGCTGATGATGGTTGGTATGGTTGAGCCATGTGCTGGAATGGCATTGACCATGCATTGACCATGGAGACAGGTCAGGTGGATTCCGTGATGGAACATCTATGAGACAGCAGTGACAGCAGTATCTATACCTAGATCTTCCAACTATGCAAATGTTATGCCTTTTAAGCTGGATTTATGGATGAAAAGGCAGAAATTTGGCATAGTTGGAAGATCCAGGTATACATGACAGATTCTCGTGCCCTGCCTTGGGGTGGAAGTAGTCATTCAGAAGCCCAAGGGTCAGAGTGTCTCGCCAGATCTGCGAGAGGCCCCCAGCAGCAAACTCCGCCAGCGAACGAGCAGGCATCATCACGGCCAACAAAGCCAGGGCCCAAAGCAGCCTGGGAGTCTCTGGAAGTTAGACAAGACCGCAAAGACCAATCATCTGCTGAGCATCTGGATGTCTTGGGACAGTGATCGGTGTTAAAATCTGGTTGTCCCTGGTCGCAAGGGTGTATCTGGCGCAACTCAATTCAGGTATTGGTTCTCCCTCCCTTCCTCCCTCGCTAGCGAAAAAAGTTCAGATAGCTGCTACAGTTGTCGTTTGGGTCGGTGCGACCCAATCTTGAAACCAGTGTAACAATTTGAGGCCTTTGAACCCCCCCAAATGGATAGAAGTTCGTAGATCCCCCACGAAACATGCTGGCAAACCGTGGCCACGGTCATGCCAAGTAGGGGGATCACTATGCTCAGCACCTGAAGGACGTCCCGGACCCTGGCGCCATCCAAGCGGCTTTTGCCGAAAGAGCTCACCGTCCCGGCCCGCCAGGGCCGTCATGTAATCCCTCTGTGCGTAGGACTGGGCCACGGCCGCCATGTTGGCCAAGGCCAGTGCACCGAAGAGGAGGAGTAGGAAGGCCATGGAACGCTTCCTCTCGTTTGCCGACGACGATCGGCACGATGAGGAGGTCATGAGTGGACCGATGTGGGTCACGTGTTTGGCGTGTTTGTGATCGAAGAAGGGCCCTGATCAATTGGAAGGTGGGCCGACCGTCCATGTATCGAGACATTCGTGCGCATTCGGGGCATCAGTCTCCGCAGCTTTGCTCGCGTGGCGAAGACGAAAAGGAGGTCCCAGAGATCCAAGGTTCGTGCAGCCGCTCGGCGCGAGGCATGCCACTGGTGGGTGGGTGATGTTGCCCCCCAAAAAATAAAACAGAGCCAGCGGCAACAGATTGCAGATTCTAAAATATGGGGTCAGAGACAAGAAAGAAGTAGTCCGCCATGGGTGCAGCTATCCATCCAACATAGCAACCCTGTAGAGGAAACTCTTCTTCGGCCCGTCTCTAGAATTCGGCACACGGTCAAAACATGAACACAACGCGTCGCAACCAAACAAAGTGGTGGGTAGTTTCAACTCGAATTATGAGTTTGGAACTCCTTATAAGACAGATCTAAGTTAAAAAAATTTAAAAGTAATGTTTCTCATGCCAAAGCTCGACATAAAGCTTACCAAAAACTTGAAAATACAACAAAGAGTCCAAATTAAAGTCGAAATTCATCAAGAAGTCCAAATTAAAGTTGAAATTGCCAGATATAGGCCAAATTATGATTGCAAAGTCCAAGTTACATTTGAAATTGCCCACTAGAATCCAAATTAAAATAGAAATTGATTCAAAGATTTCAATTAAAACTAAAATTTCTCGAGAAAAGCCCGAATTAAACTCGACTGGCTTTCAACTGAGCTTATACATGAGCTTTTCTCGAAGTTTTCTCGAGCAAACCTCGAATTAAACTCGAATTGTTGAGTTTTATTTGAGCTTTCTTCTAGAAAAGCTCGAGAAAAGCTCGAGAAAAACTCGAGAAAAGCTCGAATAAAAGTTCGATTAAGATTCGAATTTTAAAACATACAGAAATTGAAATATTTTTTCAACAAACAGTGGCCGTGAACACCCAAATTTTCCAAAGTAGCGGTCAAGGTGGACACCCAAAATAGTAACTTAGGTCCATATGATTTTTGGTCCCAAAATAGTAACTTTGGTCTTGATTCAACTAAAGTTGAAATTGATTTTCAACTATTATGTGTGGCCTCGACTATATTTTCAACTTCTATTTGGAAATTAGTCTTCTGTCCGACTTTTTAAACAAGCTTTTGGTGATCTAAAATCGAGGTTTAAGGTGTATCTGTCTTATAAGGGTTCCAAACTCATAAAACTCGAAAAATATGAACCCGCGGGTTCGATCATCCCAAGCAGGTTGAAAGTGAAACGTTATCCGAAACCACCACCTAGACCTAGCAAAAAGAGGTCTCCGAGCCCCCACATCCTGCCCCAGCTCTGCTCGGTCCTCTTCGAGGGATCCAGGATGGTCCGTCGAGCCATGTGCGCCGCCGCGTGGAGACCCCCGGAACTCCGGCCGTTCCGGCGCCCGAGAGCGGCGCCGCGCCACGCGCGCGAGGCGCGCAGGGCGGACATGAGGAGAGGCAGGCCGATGGTCACGAGGATCGCTGCGAGTAAGAAGAGCCATGTGGGAAGAGTGCTCCTCAAGAGTGCGCCAGTCGTGCGATGTTCTCCCTCGCGCCCGCAGGGAATATATGTATATATATATATATACAAGCTCCGATGTGGAGAAACAAAGGGAAGAAAAAAGGGTACCAACTCTCTTTGTCCAGGCTCAAGTGCCGACTACAGCTACGAGAAGAGGCTCCAACTGGGGCTACAGCCACAGGTCTATGTAATCCAAAACGATGCGTCAGGCTGCCACAAAGCATTGGCCGAACCTTCGACGCACTCAACGGCCGCATCGGCCATGGCGACAGGCGAGGGTCTCGAGCCACTAGGCCGCAACGGATGAGATCGTCTGCAAAAGCCTGCAGCAGTTAATGAAGAGATGCTATCCAATGCAAGTTAGGGGTGCCCCTGTCACATCCACTCACATGGAGCTCAACACCACCCCGAGCTCTGCGACTCTTGTGACTCCGGGCTTCAAGAATTCCAAGAGGAGTCTCTAGTTCCAGAATGCTCTAGGCAAACATTGCAGCCGTCGCTTTCTCTCCCCCACCTCTCCAAAGCACACAAGCACGACCAGGCATCACCAGCCGCTTGACCAACCGCTTCCAATTCAGGCAGACGCACCCCATTTCACGCCACTTCACAACGAAAGAAGACGCTCCCGGCCTCCTGATCCAAGGTCGGGGCCTTCTCTTGCAACAAGGCCTCCGTGGCCGCCACGTTGGCGGCCGCCACCTCCGGGTCCAGGATCTCCTCCAAGATCTGTCGCATTTCCAACGGTGCCTGCACGGGCTCACAGGTCGGGATCGGAGCCCGGGGGGATTGGGGTTGGGATGAAGAGGATCCGGTCAGGCAAACACTTGGAGAGCCAGGTTTAGAAAGGCAATGGACAGCAAATGGGAATTGGATGTTTAATGATATGTTTATATATGTGTCCAGGCAGCGTTTTGGTGAGCGGAGGGCACGTAAACAGGATCTGAGCTCGGAAGACTTACCCGTTGGCCGAGCGGCACGTGGCCTTTGGCAGCGGCATGGCGGGCGTGCCCTTCAAGGGAGACCCCCCCCTGAAAGAGGCGAAACGGACGACGAGTCTGACCCGGCCTGGCGCCAGGGCGTCTCTCTCTGAGAACCAGACAAGAAGGCCGGAATAAAAAAGGGGGAATGATCCTCGGAGCTCCTCGGAGCTCCACGGGCCATGTGAAGTTCGATCTCCAGACCTTCGACCCATTCCCCCGCATGTGCCGGTCCGCTTGATGGAGTTCACCTCCCACGACCTGACCTCCGGTGTGTTGCGACAGACCAGTTGCGCACCCCATGTTCGGCCTCCGCATGCCAGTGCTCCCGGAACTCCTCCTCCAAAGCTTTGGCATCCTGGAGGGGAAGAAGAAAACCCATTGGGGCGCCCCGAAGAATTCAAGAGTCTGTGCATGTGTCCTCGTGTGGACACAGCATTTCTTGCGATCTAGCACGTGGATTGTGAGTTCTTTCGGTGCTTGGTGAATACTTGGTTTTTCCCATGGCAACCGTGGCGGCTTCGTCTAGCAAGCAGGGACATTTCAAAGGCAACTGTGTCGCTCTGACAGGTTCACACCCACGTGCTCGGCGCCAAGTCTGGGATTGGTGCAAGCAAGAGAGACATGTATCTATGATCGATAGATTCCGATAGATATCGGGATATCGATAGTAACCCCCTTACATGCCACTACGTCTTTTAGAGCGAGCTCACTTTTCTCTCCATCTTACCCAAAAAAAGGCATATATCATATTCCTGCTATTGTACAGCCTTTGGCACATCACCGGCAACGCCCGGGCCACACGTCCATCCGCGCGGCGGCGCCCGCCCGCGGCGCCTCGTCACTTCGATTTTGGATGTACTCTCGCAGCGCAGGGCACGCCTTAAGGGCCTCACAGACACGCGCGGCGCACCAGCAAGGCCTGCGGCCGGCATGCGGCCGGCCGCATGCATGGTGAGGCAGAACCCTTCCCAAAAATAGGCGTCAACTGGATAGTCGTTCCCAAATAGGGCTGAAAGGTGTAAAACGATGAATGAAAGCACCAACCAAATGCCCCCTTCTTCTTCTGCATGCCTATATTGAAAGAGTTATTGCACACTTACAGCGTGAACAAGATCAAAAAACAACGCAACTCTTTCACTGGGTGTCCACTTGTAGCTCCCAAAAATCTCATGACTGCTCTGGAGACCCTCATGTCTTCAGAAAGAGTCCTGATGCCCCCTTCTTCATCACCTCCCTGCGAAGGAGGCACCTGCCAGACATCTGCCCTCACGAAAAATGTCCACCAGTGGCCTGGTCAAAGGGCTGCTGGAGCAATGCCCTCACCCGTGCTGCCAGGTCAGGGTCCGACACCACCTGGGAGAACGCGCCGCGTTCGAAGGCGCAAGCGGTGTTGAGACCGCTCCAGGACCCCAGTGTTATCAACACTCATCCTGGAGTGGTATGCCAACACTTCCACAAGAAGTGGTGTTGGTACATCAAGTTCACCCGTTCTTGTAGAGTGCTCAGGGCATGTACCAGTGCTTCAGTGGCTCCTTTGAATGGCATTGAGCAACAGCATTCGCTGTGATCTATGCTGTAGGGGCACTGGTTTGTCCTGTAAGGTTTGGATTGCACGGGTGGGCATTCCTTGACAAATGAAAGCCCATGTCATACATGAAAGAATGCTGCCGAATCAGTCAAAAGCATCCTACAGAGTCTCTTCAATCGGACTTAGAGTCAACAATTGGGACCTGCTTTTTGTTCCCTTGAGTGAAAAAGCATGACCGTCGCATGCCAGGTCTCATCGTCACAAACACATGGTTTCATGCATTCTCACGTTGCAGTTTGTAGAGGAACACCATCTTTGACATGGCCCTGTTGCATTGGTTTGTTGAAACAAAGCCTAGGCCCAATCAAGTGGATCAAAGAAAAGGTTCCTTTCATAGCTGGCACATGCTGGCACAAACCCCTTGATGTCTTTTGCTTGCTGGCCCATATGCCTCCAGGGAGACAAAAGCGTATCCTGCAGGAGTTGGCAATCTACTCTAAAACTAAAACGAGTATTTGGCACCTTGTGGCGAAGCGCAGGGCCAAGCCTTCAAGTGGCACAACGGTGGTTGCAGCCATGGCACATGCTTTTCCAGCTGGGCCATGGCAGCGGGAAAAGCGGCGATGTAGAAAGTGCAGTACTGGAGACACGTCGTTGGTCGTCACACAGATGTGTGTCTGGTCCACAGTTTCTGGGAGAAGCTTGTGACCTTTGATGCCAATTACACCACCGTAGACCCCAAACAGTTTGTGTTTTTCAAAATCGAAACTAGAGCCTGCGACGTCCAGAGCTGGGAGACAAATGTAAAGGATTGCAAGGCAGAGACGGACACAGCAGTACAGAGCGGGCAGACACATCTTAAGAAAGAATTGAGAAGCCCTAGCAGTAAACCTTTTGGGGAATCATTCTTCAAGCGCGAACATGATGTCAGCGGGGAGCTGACCACGTGAGGACAAGAAACAAAAGCATGAGGAGCGAAGGATGTGACATGAAATTGATTTTTGGTGCCTGACGTATGCCCTCCGCCCCAACTGAACAGAGAGATCGCTGCCACGCCGCCGTAATCCAATCTGGTCATTCATCGAACTGTTGCCCGAAAAGAAACAAAGCTGAGAGAGTTACACAGTGTGGCAGGAATGCAATCCCTGAGACAGTCACGCACCCCTTGCAAAGGAGCAAGAACCTTTCACAGGCGAACCTGTTCCAGCGGACAGGGCAGAAAACAGCAGTGCAGGCACCAAACCTGAAAGACAAAAAGAAAGAAATCACATGGGAGACAAATGAATAGAAATGCTACATGGCCAGCGGAAAAGGGCGGCAGCACCAGTGACAGACCCGGGGAACAAATGAATAGACATGTTGCATGCCCAGCGGAAAAGGGCGGACACCAGCAGTGACAGACCTGGAAAACAATGAATAGAAATGTTGCATCGCCAGCGGAAAAGGGCGGACACCAACAGTGACAGACCTGGGAGACTAATGAATAGAAATGCTGCATGGCCGACGAAAAGGGCGGGCACCAGCAGTGACAGACCTGGGAGACAAATGAATAGAAATGCTACATGGCCAACGGAAAAGGGCCGACAGCAGCAGTTGCGGACCTGGGAAACACATGAATAGAAATGCTTCATGGCCAACGGACAAGGGCGGACACCACCAGTGACAGACCTGAAAGACAAGTGAATAGGAATGCTACATGGCACCAGCAGTGACGGACCTGGGACACAAATGAATAGAAATGCTTCATGGCCAATAGACAAGGACACACCAGTGACAGACCTGCGAGACAAAAGAATAGAAATGCTACATGGCCAGCGGCAAAGGGCGGACACCACCAGTGACAGGCCTGGGAGACACATGAATAGAAATGCTGCATGGCCAACGGACAAGGGCGGACACCAGCAGTGACAGACCTGGGAGACAAATGAATAGAAATGCTACATGGCCAACGGAAAAGGGCGGACACCAGCAGTGACAGACCTGGGAGACAAATGAATAGAAACAGCGGAAAAGGGCGGGCACCACCAGTGACAAGCCCGGGGGACAAATGAATAGAAATGCTGCATGGCCAGCGGAAAAGGGCGGAAATTAGCAGTGACAGACATGGGAGACAAATGAATAGAAACAGCGGAAAAGGGCAGCACCAGTGACAGACCCGGGAACCAAATGAATAGAAATGCTGCATGGCCAGCGGAAAAGGGCGGAGAGACAAATGAATGAAAAGAAGTGGGAGACAAATGAAAGGAAGTGGGAGACAAGCCAGCCGGGAACCCGACTACAAGCACCCAGCCTGGGAGACAAATGAAAAGA